GCAACCGTGTCACAAATGCACGGTGATATTACGATATCAATGAAATGTAGTTCGAGGGATAGCTTGATTCATCAATTGAAAACAGCAGTAAGAAATGCATATAAACACACGTCCTATCCGACTTTCTTTACGAGATAATATATAACTAAGAGTTCTGTGTCCCGTCATTTAACATTTGATTATTTTCACATGAGATGATCGAAATGAGGTATATATACCATACTTTGTGATTCAAGCTTATAGACGTCTTGTCAATGATCTGGTTATTCTCAATACAACAATATTGAAAATTTTCATGTAAGATGATTTCGTGTCTAGATATGATCACTTTGTATGGAAGGAGAAGATAAATAAAAAATAAACAATGATAGAAGATTTCTTGACTTTCTGATAATACGTACAAGATTTTTATTGGTACAAAAATTTTTTTTTTTGAAAATTTTGAATTTATTTTCAATAAATTGAATGCAAAAGGATACATATAAAAATAATCAAATGTAAATATATAAATATATATATATTTTGATAGAATCACGAACTGATGTCAAATTCAATTAAAATATCATTCGATTCATATATTTGTCGTACATTTAAACAATTTTCTAAAAGTGATTTTTTTTAGTGAGAGTTTTTTTTTTTTAGTAGAGTTTCTTAATATTTATCGAGAACGTGATTTGTTAAAAGAATTTTAATGGTGAATGAAAGACGTATTTACATGGTGATCATTAAATCTAGGAATGTTGTAAGTGTAGAATACAAAGTGCAAATTTTCTTCAAATGGATATTTATTTATCTGTGTTAAAATCAAGTGATTTATCTCAACTGCCATTTACCAATAATAATCGTTCAAATAAATGAAATAATCAATGATCGAGAAAGGATATAATTTTTTATAACCTCAAATCTCTCCATCGATCGATCGAAAAGAAGACGTTTCTTCTTAATATCGAAACACATAGTGTTTCCGTTTTCCAAAGAAAAAAGAACAAGAGAGAGAGAATTTTAAAGACATTTTTACATTTAAGAAAAATCATTCCAAACATATCGAAAACATGAATTTACCCGGCGAATATTCAAAAATATCGAAGAGAGCGCATATTTGGACATCCATCTCCTCGGACACTTGAATCGAAGAAAATTGTCGATTCTCAAAAACACTGGTGGGTTTGAAAATGATATAAAGCAAGGAAGAATGAATGAAAAGAAATTAACGACGACAAAGGATCCGACCGATTTAAAGGATCCCACGTCGGCAATTTCTTTCGAAGGAAACGCGACCGAATTGCAAAAATCTCTTCTTTTCCCACCAACATTCATCTCTCCAGTCAACGTTGGATCAACTTCAAACGAACAACGAATAAAATTTTTGAACCGTGACACGAACATAACCTCTTAACAAATACGCTTCGTCTTTTAAGTTAGGTTAGAAGCCGGATCAAAAGGATCGAAAGATGTAAAAAGTATTAAGAAGATCGACGAACGATGTTTGGAATCGTTGGTGATTCGATAACGCACCGTTTCGTCGTGTAACGAAAAAAAAAGAAACTTAATCGTTTCTTCAAGTATCCAAGATGCTGGACATATTCCGGGGCCTGAAGAGCCTGATCAAGATCTCCCATGTGCACATCGATACAGCTGTGTTTCGATTGCATTACAGTTTTACCGTGATCCTCTTGATCTCATTTTCGTTGATCGTTACTACGAGACAATACGTTGGCAATCCGATCGATTGTATCCACAGTAAGGATTTACCGGAGGATGTGCTGAACACGTATTGCTGGATCCATAGTACGTACACGATCACAGCGGCTTATAGAAAACGGGAAGGATTCGAAGTGCCGTTCCCAGGGGTGGATAATTCCAAATCGCATCCAGAGGCGGAGAGGAAGGAGTACAGGTACTATCAATGGGTCTGCTTCATGCTGTTTCTCCAGGTAATCGATCGATTAGATTATTTATTGTTTCATGCTTTTGTGAATTTTATTTTATATCTTGTTTGATATTCAGCTGAACGGAATTACGATTGATATATCTGTAACGATAATTTCAAATTAATAACAAAATTTTGAAAGGAGAGGTTATACGAACGAAAAAAAAAAAAATGATTCAACATTTTTGACACTGGTATATGAGATCTATTTTTCATCATAAATAACGATCAATTTCAAAAGCGAATCCTGTTTATTTCTTTCGAGTAACAAGGTGTCGATTTCATAACCGTCGAAGCTTTTGCGTACAACTGGTGCAAAACCCATTTATCCATATTCTTTATTTTTCCTGTTGAATCGAGTAACGAGCAACGATAGAACGGCTTAATACTAGTCGAGACGTTATTCATCTTGCTGTTTACGTTTAGATTATTTTTAATAACATCTCAATATTTGTTAAACGATACCTGCTATTTCCTTCTAACGAGAAAAAAAGAATTTTATTATCAGACTTGAATTTCGTAAAACCAAAGTCGAAACATTAGAAACACAATTCGATCACATATCGACGTCCGATTGTCGATCTTACTCGACACATCTCGCACAGCTTAACCTCATACTTTGCAATGAAATCGACTTGGACACAGGATCTCCCGAAAAGATCTCGCTATGGAAACAGTAGGAGAAAGTAGTGGTGGGAAAAATGATGGTGGAAGAACGAATGGCGAGTGCTCTATTGTATGATGCGATGTAACACCAGTCGCTCCTTGTGCCACCATCTTTATTTCCCCCACTCTTACTTTCTCCCACTCTCGAGCAAACTTTTTCCCCCACTATTACAATTTTTTTCAGTGAGATTCGCAACTTAGGTTGAATATCGTCGTGCTTGATTCTGCTTGAATTTTAATTCGTTTACACGTAATCGCATCGAAAAAGATTCGGCAATAAGAAAAGCCGGATAACGAGCGAACTGGTTGCGGCTACGGCCGAGGAATTTACCCGGTGCTTACAGAAGCTTATATCTAGTTCATTGCCAAGAAGGAAACCCCTAAGCATATTAACTCGTTAAACTTCTAGCCGTTATACTTCGTCACCGAGGGTCGCTATCGCGAGAGTCGCCTTGACGTTTGGTCAAAGACGCTTCTCCACCGTCACCTTTCAACTGATCTCTTCAACTAGAACATGTTGTTAGACGGAATTAGATACACTTGATTCAATATCGATCGTTGGAATAGACGGTTAGCCACGCGATTTCCTTTTTTCTTTTTTTTTTTTGTTTGTAAACTTAAGAAAATAAGATCCATTGGAAAAAGATTGTTAATTTTTTTTCTCTAATATATGTATACATCAAAATATAAAAGTAAATTTCTTCTTTTTACGCTATTGTTAAATTATCAAATATTTTTCTTCGTAATTAGATTAGATTAGGTTAGATAGTTAGATTTAACAAAAAACGTAAATGTTTCGCAAGCATCATTTCTATTTTCGTTTTAATATTGAAAAAAAAAAATTATTATTTGTTTTGCTATTTGCAAATAAATAAATCAATATTCTCAAAACAATTTTAAAAAAATGAACGATACAAATAATAAAATTTCTAAAAATGGAAAATTTCTAGAATGCGTCCGACTAATTTTCGAAGCCAAACACAAAGTGTTTACAAACAAAACTAGATATGCTTGAGGTTATTGCTACGTAAACTAAAATCCGTGGAAGTTATTTACATAGCTTTGTATGATTGCAATCATCGAATGTGGCAAGTATCTGTTACGATGAAGTTTAGTGAACAGTGAACAGCGAAATACAATTTTATTTTGTGGTGCGTATAAAGGTAAATAAATTATGATAATAAATTCGCATGATGCGAAAGAATTCGAAATTGATTCTCTTGAATTTTTTAAAAAAGATAACAATAATCTGTTTAAAAAAAATATTCGAAAGTATCTTTCTCATAAATAGTTTATGATTGGCTGTATCTAAATACTAATCAAATCTGATCTAACTTGATTTTTTTTTAAATTTCTTCTTCACATAAAATGTATAATAATATATTTTATGTGAAGAAAAAATTGAAAACACATTTTCTTACATCACAGTTAATTACGGTAAGAGTTGATTAAACAAGATATTTAAATTCGATTTAGCGATCCGTGTAATAACCCAAAATCTCTTCGTTGATTCATACATAAAGCATAGTTCCATAATTAACTGAGCATGGAACGTATCCAAACGTTCTTCGAGATAATTATAATTGCCTCCAGTACTATTCGAATATAATCCAAACCAAAGTAATGTAGACCCTTGGATCTAATTATAGAGCGACAATGACCCGAATGTTTCGTCTCCTTTTTACTCCCTTGACTCTCGGTGTCCGTTTTTCTTTCGATGACAAGTATTGTTGGCAGAAAGCCAATTCTTAATAATCGCGGTGTATTATTCAACAAGATATCATAACCTCGTCAAAAATTTTTATTTCTTCCCTTCAACCTACTACGTCATATCGGTGAAAATTATCGGCGTTCTCTTTTTCTCAAGACTGTACGCCTTTGGTGATCTTAATTTATTTGTTTGTTTTCTTTCCAACCTACTTTTGCAAATATTTCGCGTTTGCATGTGTTGCACACTTGCTCTAACGATGATGAAATCAAAAATTTTTAGGGAAAACAATTTTGAATGAATTGAATCGCTGTAAGGAAAGAATTAGGGATCACTAGAAATTTCTAGGGGTAACTAAGAACACTCGAAACTTGAAAAAGAACTGTCGAAACTCGAAAAATTTTGAATTTTTAAAATTTCAAAACTTTTTCTCCTAATTTTGTGATCTCCTAATTTAGTTTGTGTAAATAACTTATGAAAATATTCCGATATACGTATCATATTAATGTTTATGTATCCAGATTTCTATTTTCTACATAAAAAGAAAATTAAAAAAAAAATTTAAAATTGTTTGTTTCATTTTTTGAATAACGTTACTTCTACTAAGTGTGTTTAGATCCATTTACAAATGTTACAACAGTGTAATAATAATAAATAAAGCATTATGAAAATTCTATTATAAGAAACCAATAACGAAATAAAAACTTTTTTATAATTAAAACACGGTATATATAAATAACACGAATACGTACATTTCATTGTCATGACAAGAGAAGATCATATAAGTTATGTGTTTAGCATCGAGGCCAAGGGATGCCTCTCAAGTTCGGCCAGTCTTCTAACGGCTTGCTTCCGCGCCCCACGTGTGTCTCACCGTGTCCGAATAGTCGTTTCATCCTCTTCTTCTACTTCATTCATACGCTTCTTTGTCAAAATAAAAAGAAAAAAAAAAAAAAAACAGATAAAAGAAAAAACGATGCTGTGTGTTTAATCAATTCATGTGCCCATAAATTAAAAAAAAAAAAAATCATTTTTCTAATAAAAAAAAAAAACAAAACCGCGTGTGAATCTGATTCAAGATTCCTCTTCAACAAGTTATTGGAGTTAAAAACTTTGGAGATTGAAGAAAGAAATTTTCTCCAAGAGATCGTCGATTCATTCAATCTTTTAATGATGAATTTTAAAAAGTTGTAGATAGAGATAGAAATATTGAAAGAAGTCAGGTAAAAAATGGAGAATGAGATGTAATATTTTTGTTAAAAAAAAAAAATAAAAAATATTGGTGGAGTCAAATCAATATTCGAAAGATAGAGAAGCGGAGAGTAAGCAAAATGCACGTAGCGAAGCTGTTCCCGATTCGATCGCAAAAATTCAATCGGCCGGAATTTTGCGGGGACAGTCACGAAGAACGCGACGAGGAAAACAGACCCGCAATAATGAATATTATTTCTCTCTGATTTTTCGATATTTCGTCCGCGAAAATCTTTCGAAATATACAAGAGAAGTTTTCAACACACGTTAGATCAGTGATAAATCGAGAATTCTGTGATACACGAAGAAATTTCGTAAACATCGTGAACATCGTGAACATCGTTCATATTGGCGCTACTTGCAAAAAAGATAAAATTAGAATTGGAATTTTCGAATTAGAATTTATACCAATTTTAATAATTTCCAATAATTTTTATAATTTTTCAACAACAATTTTTATTTTTGTTGCTGTATTTTCAATTTCTCAGTGATTCCAACTTTAACTTCAATATTCCAAATCTTAACCTCAATTCCAACCAGTCTTCTTCCATTTTCAACACATCGTTTAAGATTCACTCACGAAAAAGGACTTCGATTTTTCTAAATATTTTTATCAATTCAATTAATTCTTCTATTCAGCCTCGATAATTCCTCAACCATTAATTTCAATTCCATTACTATTTTTATCAATTTGAATAATAATTCCTCGGCTATTAATTTTGTGATATCTAATTTTTCTGTTTTCTCTAACCTAACCTAACTTTTTCAATAATCCTGATTAATCAACTTCAATCTAATTCTTTCTTCAATTTTCAATTTAATAAATAATATCTCAACGATCAAACCAACGTCAATTTCAAATCGACCAATTCTCCATCCAACGATCTCCATTTTTATCACGTCACTCAATAACCGTCCGTAAAAACGGATCAGCTAAACGGAGAAGAGAGCGACTGTCTTCTCGAGGAAGATACTTCCGTGATCTCGAAAGCAGTTCGCCGTACAATACGACGTACAAAGATGCCTCTGATGCTGAAAATGATCGATGTGTTCGGCTCGTTGAGGTCTCTGTTCAAAATTCAAAAGATCTCTGTCGACACGATGACATTTCGGCTGCATTATCGCGCAACAGTGGCGCTACTCCTCGGTGGATGCGTCACATTGGCCTGCAAAAGTATTTCCGGTTCGCCGATTCATTGCGAGGCGTCCGGTTCCGTGGATAAGATCGTATTAGAGACTTTCTGTTGGCTCCATACCACGTACAGCATGGTGCACGCGTTTAACAAGAGTCTGGGCCAAGCAGTGCCGTATCCTGGTGTGTCGAACAGCAAAGGTGATGGAATGCACGGTCACGTGTCGCATCCGTTGGTCAAACAGCACAAGTACTATCAATGGGTCATCTTTTTCCTACTAGTGCAAGTATGAGAAAATTGTTTCGTTATTTGCAGTAGATATTTGAAATTGAATAATATTGGAAGTTGAATTTTAATTGAGGTTCCCTTAAAGGGGTATTATTTTATATGGAAAAATTTTGTAAATTCTGTTTTTAAATTCTCACGAATAAATCTGATTCGTTATGATAATTTATTATTCGATTTCTAGAATAATTAATACATTTTAATATTAAAATAGAGATTTTTCTAATAAAAATAAAATCAAAAGTGTGATACTGTCATAATTAAATTAATCGTTTAGATAAAAAGCAACTATTTCTAATTATCGATTTTAGTTAACAGATTATAATCATACTCATAAGTCAAGGTTTGATCTTAATCCTTCGACTAGTTTTTATTTAAGCAGAATAATATGGTAACTGCGTTCGATGTGATCGTCTTAACGCAGAACATGGGAAAATCTCTTCGCCGGAAGGTTATGCGTAATTAGAACAGTTCTTGGAAATAGATCTCATTCACGAGGGAACGATCAGAAATAGCATCGTTGTTCTTTTATGAATCATCAATCTTGAGTTTTAGTATTTGATGATCCTATTTAACCTTTCTTTTTCAGATAAAAAAAAATCATTTATAACGGATATATGAATTTTTTATGCCGTAATCTATATTATCATGTTCATTAAACTATGTTCTAATAAAATAAAAAAAGTTAAAAAAATTCTTTTTTTTTTTTTTTTGAATTAAAAATAAAATTAAAATTTTTAATTAAGAGAAAATATTATAGTTTAAATTTTTTTCTCCATTCATTATAAGGGTTAAATAATTGATTTCACGAGTTGATGCCCATACTCATTAAAAATCTCCATTTCCCTTGTTCGCAATGTATCGTTCCATTTCTGTTCCTCTTTGCCGCGTTCAAAGTGGTTAAATGCCGGACGAAATGAGACAAGAAGAACTGTCACGTGTTCCAACCGTTCCACCGGGTTTTCCGCTTGTTTGGCCAATTTTATCCATTTACCGCCTGCTCCCACGTGGCGTTGCTGTTCTTCCTTTTTTTCTTCCGAACAGTGCATGCACCCAACTGGCACGTGAACACCGGTGAAGTATAGTTAGCTTCGTTCTATTTCCATCCATGGATTTTTCCTTTTTGTGTTGGATTCGCGTTCAACATACATGCACAACGCAAAAACAGAACGACTCTTCAACGTCCTATAGTTACGCTCTTTTTTTTCTTCCATTGGATTCGAAGGTTTGTCGATTTATAATTTTGATTTTGAAGAAAAAAAAGTTCGTCGATTGATACTTTTAATCAATCGATATGTTTTTACAGTAAAGGTAAGAGAATTGTTTCCGATAGAAAAATTAAGAAAATATCTGCAGAGTTCCAAGTTAGGTTAGGTTAGTTTAGTTTTACTATTCTGTGACAAATGAAAAATTATTCATCGTACGATATGTTCGCGCAAATCTGAAAGAGGTTATATAAGCATGATATATTATAACAAATGAAAGTTAATTTGTCAAAGTTTCTAGCATACTAAAGTTTTTCCAGAATATTTTTAAAATTTAGCAATCCATGCGTATATACATTGGAAACACATATTTAAAAGTTAGAGTTTTATTTTTTGCTTTATCACTTCTATTTTTATATGTGTACACATAAAACGAATCCACTTTAATCGTAACATTTCGAACTTTTAATAGCTCTCGTAACAAAATTTCTCCGTTTAGTCATCTCTACGATGTATAAACTCGTTAAATAAATGAATCGCTTTTGATCAATAACAATTAATCAATTCGCCTGCTGAAAACAATACTCCCATTTATTGCGATTTTATCGTTTCCAACGAAATCCATAGCTAATTTGATATCTTTAGGCGCGTGCCAAGAGTCTGAGAACAGTGTTGATGATCTATCGATCGAGATCACTGATCTCGTATAGTTTGCTAATTCCGTGCGTTATAACGATAAAATTATTTAAGTTTTTGGCAAGATGACAATGCATTTATTTTGGTAGATTTGACAAATTGGATAATAAATGAAATTTAATTAGACTTAAAATTACTTTTAAATAACATATTCAACTCTAATAAAATCATTAAAATTAAAAAAATTTTCTACAGAATTTTATAAATTTTATTATTCAATATGAAAAAAAGGAAAGTTACAACTTCATTTTCATTTTTTTTTTTATATTCCAATTATATTCCATATGTATTATTGAATTTAATTTTAATTATTTTTTTGGCAAATGATTTATTTATCAAAAAAGATATTATTTTATCGACGAGATATTAAGATATTCATATTGTTTTATTCATTGTCGAAACAGCAAAATATATCTGAAAATGTTTTACATTGTACAACAAAATTAAGACGTATGACTATTTTTTTTTTCCAGGCAATCCTCTTCTATACGCCTCGATGGCTATGGAAAGGCTGGGAGGGTGGCAAGATTCACGCGTTGATGATGGACCTCGACATCGGTCTTTGTTCCGAAGTTGAGAAGAAGCAGAAGAAGAAGATGTTACTCGACTATTTATGGGAGAATCTTCGATTTCACAATTGGTGGGCTTACAGGTACTACCTCTGTGAAGTTCTCGCTCTGCTGAATGTGGTCGGTGAGTGACACGATATTTTTCCTCGATGATTTTATTGATACGTGACAAATCACATTTTATTTTCATAAATTTTATTTCGTTATTGTTTTCCAACTTCATTTTATGAAATTTTACATTTCATATAAGTTATACTATAAAAGATCATGAAAATTCTTGAAAAAGATTTTTATCCTCTTCATAAATTATATATTGTGAAATAGAATCATTATTTATTTAATGTATTTCTGTGTCAGTAGTTCGAAGGATACATAATTCCTATTATCATTCTCGTGTCACATGTGACATTATCGATTCAAAATTGAATGAGGTAGCAGCGCCACTAGACGGAAGAAAGTGTAATTAAATATAATGATAATCAATTGAGGATTGGAACGGGAAAAGATTTATTTTTGACAAATTTTTGAATTACACGTAATATAGCTAAAAAAAATCAACTGATATATCTGTAAAAAAAAAAAAAATATCAATGAAAAACAATTAATAATTCACTTGAGATTTTAAATTGTTTTGTACAATAAAAATTTCGTTTATTCTAGATGCAACAGGAAACAATATTTCTAATTAATAAAACAACAATAAATCAATGAATTAAATAATGTTTTTATATTTGTCTGAATTCGAAATTTTATTTATTCAATTTTATTTATTTATTCAATTTAAAATACAGTTATGGTAATGGTTGATATCGATTAGATGGATAGAGTGAACATCGTTTATAATTCTCAGGATCATTATCATATGATTACCGTAATGAGTTGTAGCAGCAACTCTCGCTTGGTAACAAGGTTAAGTTTCAATTAGATAGCAGAATTTCTGTCGCGTACAAAAATTGATAAAAATTATCAAATAGTTACATATATATTTTCTAGATATATAAATTCTTTTTTATGCTGTCAAAAATAGATGAGAAATACGATGGCGATGAATTTCTTGATGAACACCAAAGGATAAATTAGTTACTTTTTGAAGTTTCACTGTCGTTCCAGAAGAGGACGAATTGCAATCCCCATTAGAAGTATACCACGAATAAATGACATAAACCACTATAAATTCGTCAAGCTACTCTAATGGACTTAAGTCTGTAACATAAACTCTCTTCTCTCCCTTGTTCTTTTTTTTCTTTTTTTTTGTTTTCTTTTTCGTTATTCATTTTCAGTCGTATATTTGCCTCCTTAGAGGTTAAGTTTTTTTTATGTACAATATATGGAGAATTAATTTATAATATGCAGCATTACAAGTCCATTGTTTTTATTATTTTTTTTTTTTTGCAAGAGACAAATGAAAACAGGAGAAGAATGTTATTATTAAGCTTTATTAAAATTAATATAAATAAATGACCTAAAAAGCTTTGAAATAAAGTCTTCCAAACAAAAACTTCTATCCAATTACGCAATGAATATTTTTCAAAAAATTGTATTGATTTTCAACAGATGAAGTTATTGATCATCAAAAATGAATATTTTCCATCATTCTACACAATGAATGTGTAATTTTTACATATTTAATCAAATTATATTATATAATTATGTAATAATTCACTCTACATAATTTTTTAAGAAGAAACAAGTAGAATTGTTGACAGAAACAATATGGAACAAAATAGCTTTAAAGAAAAGCAAGACATTCGCATATATTGGCCTTTTAGAATGCATAGAGCAGGTGGTCAGTTGTATCGTTGCCAAATTTTATTGTGAATCGTTCATTCACTGGTTGCCTGTTAACACCGATTCCTCTTTATAACCTATACCTGACGAATGAGCAGACTGGATGGAAACTCGAACCAATTCAAATTAACATAAATGAATAGCAGTAAAGATGAACGAATGCACAGGGAGCAGTCAAGATCCGATTCGACACTGTTTGTTGATTCCTGATTCCACAAGTCTGGTTTCCCTATAACTAAGCACAGAACGTCTGTACGTTTCATCCTTATTATATGATCGTGAATATTTTGGTTTGATGTACCAATAACCGAGGAAAGAACCGTTTCACGATCGTTTGTACGTGCTATCCACGTTTGTTCGCCCATGTTTATTTCGTTGACGTTTCTGTTTGCTGACATTTGTTTGTTTGATGAATTTATATACGTAAAACAGAATTATAATAGTGCAACCGCTTTAGCATTCGCAGTCTGAACTGGACAAATGACTTGTGCGGATTCAACTTGAGCGAATGAAAGAGAATAAAAGAATATAAACAAAGTATCGGTGTCAAATTTCGTTCGGCGGTTATCTCATTTGGCACATTTTGAAGTTTACTTCGAGTCTCCATTTCTAAGAATTGATGTCCAAAGCGATGAAGGTTAAAGCAAATATGTAGGTAAATATTGTACATATAGAGTTAGAGTGATACTTAACTGTCATGGAATTATCCTCAATATCTGAAATTGGAACTCTGGGAATAGGTTTAGAGAGTGTTTAGATCAGATTAATATATTACTTTCTTTAATCCAGTTGATTAACAATTAAATGTTTGAATCAAAAAAACTAAATTAAATACAATTCAATAATTTGACCTAAATTTAACATTTTTTTTCACAGAATACAATTATTTGTTAAATTTGATTTAGATTAAATAATAGAAAAATTGGATGAAATAATATTATGTCACCAACAATTTCTTAGTTAAATTAGTACAAATACGTACTTACCGATTTATTTAATGTCATCGAATTGCTATTAAAAAATTTCTCCATAACGATTCTCATTTCTTATGTAATCTCTCGCTCGTAAATAAGAAACCGCGATTAATCATAAATTGTTTTCCGGTTACAGAAGATTAAGAATCGCTTTTGCATGCTGATTCGAGGAAAAAATATGGAAGCAACAAAAGTCGAGTCTGTGGCCTTAAAATCCGTCAGCCGTGAAAGAAATATAGAATCGTTAAAAGTAAAACAAATAACAGAAAGAAGATAAACATATCAACGGTAGCGGCCGACATGGGGAAAATGGGTAAAAGGAATGGTAAATGGGAAAATTTTGATGGGCAAAGAGAAACATACAGAATGCCCTGTAATGCCGTGTCCACGTTTCACTGGAAACAGAAAAGACTTTCTTTGAATTCAATTTCAAAATAGCCTCGTGTGTAGTCAAAACAATTATAATGATTTTATTTCTTTAAATGATTAAAAAAATTGTAAATTGTCAAGAAAATTAACAATTTTTCCCATTTCTTTTATTTACCTATGTCGTGATGCCCAAGGAGGATATAAAGTAGTTTGGTGGGTCACTATTATTTTTATTTATATAAGAAATTTTAGTTCTAAATTAGAACTGGCTTGAAGAGAAAGAAATAATTCTCGAACATAACTTTTTCTTTCTTCTTTTGATGAAAGAAGTCAAGTGATTTTCCGGCTTAAAAATAGCTAACCTAAGAAGATAAAGACCATGGTTATTCGCTTGTCAAAATGATATATGAAACTACAGATCAAAGGATACTTGGAAATGTATATGTATGTACATATTCCTGAAAATCTATTGGACATGCTCCACTCTTATTACAAAATTCTCAATA